AATTGTCTTTCTTAAACTTTTGGCAGAACACTTGATAGCTCAATGTGGCTTTCACCCTCTCTGCAAAGTTCTCCATGTATACTTGATGCAAATCTGACATTTCCTGGATAGTCATCTGAAGACAGGAGGATATCTTCGAAAGTTTGTCAAAAAATGCCACTTTATGGAACGACTTGTCATCCTTGGCTCACTCATGGTGGGCGTAATGTGTTCAAGGGGGGGGGGGGGGACCTCTTGTTGTTGTTTTTTTTCGGATAAGACACTTTAAATAAACCAGTGGGTCAGGCCTGTGGTGTTCATGAAGATTGTTTTACAAACAGGTGTTCTTTCACCATTGACTCTTTTAAACGATATTGAAGGGTGTAATTTCTCTTTGGGATTTCACTTGCTGTGTAAGATCTCTTTTTGTCTATCCTGTGTATCATGGCATATACGTAGTCTATCTTTTCTTTCCAAGAGAGTGACCTGTGATGTCATTGCATTTTGTACCAACCAGTTTACCACAGAAAAGGACGTCAAGTTCACATCCTGCTCGCTTCGTGCCTTGACATGGGTAGAGGCATCCCCAGTTCTTTCAACCTCTTCCTTTTGTTACCCTTCCAATCGTTTTCATGCCGTGTCCTTTTTGCAGAGATCAAAGGTAACATAACTATTGTACTATCAGCTGATGTGACATTAGCCTGGTCACGTTGATCACTTTCCATTGCGCTGAGGGTCAGAGGTGACGTAGCAAGAGTGGCATCATCTTATTAAATGTTATAGCGTTATGTAAGCTAAGGTTTGATATAAAGATAAAGCATTATGTTATGACACTGTGAAAATAATCTATACAAAACACTAACGAAATGAACTTTCAAAGAAAGTCGAAAGATGTTTCAGAAGGTAATGACTGCAATAAACACTGCTAATGAAAAAAAGAAAAAAAAACTTTAAAAGCAAACGATCGTTCGGGACAGACGCTGTGCTGGACAGGTCCCGCATTTTTTTTCTGAGTGAGTTAGTAAAGAATGAAAATCTACCGACTTCGTCCATTCTATTGCAATGGAAAAAATGATTAGGAGAAGAGACAGTAGTCTGAATAAGGGAAAATGCCTTCATAATTCGGTAACTTTCAAATACAAAGACAAAGAAGAACACGTGGACAGAAAAAATAGTTTCATATAAAACACAATCCATAAAGATGTGTTGAAATACCGGCATTGTAACGAGATAAAAACAGTTCTGTGGGCACATTGGGGAGTTTTAGTCATTAATAACATTATCAGCAGCTTTAAAAAGAAAAAAAAGAGGGAACAACCAGATCTATATAACTCCCAAATGAAACCAACAAGAAGTATTACACAAATTTCCCTTTTGAAGAGCTCACGTGGTTACGTGAGCGAATTCTGGACTATCAAACGAAGTCCTGAGACGAGTCGAAGCCGGGGTTAGTCAGTAACGTAGCAAGTGGCCCCTCATTGTTAGCGCGACAAAAACAGCTAACCCTCATTCCCTCCCTCGCAGGTGGGATAGTCGGAAACATTGGGCTAAAATCCGATGGATAGCGGGTTATACGGTTTTATTTCTAATGTTTTAAAGACATTTTTAGAAATAATTTAGATCTGACTATAAGTGAGCATATGAAATGGACAATTTGCTATCGATAGGGCCAATAAATTTTTTTTGGACATTTTGTGGGTTAGCCGGTTTTATCACCAGGCCGACGATATGTAGATATACATAGAATTTAAATTATACTATACTCTCATAAGAATTCAGTTTGAAGAGAAAAATAAAGCTGACAATAATACTCATATCACGTCAGATGTATCTTTCAACCACAATCATCTATGGCCAGTGTGCTGTCCACCTGCCATTTGACCCATTTGTGACCTATGTGACATAATAATAATAATAATAATAATAAATAGCATTTATACTGCGCATTTCCATTTCCTAAAAGATGCTCAATGCGCCTTACAATGAAAAAGACATCACATCTTAAAAATTAATCGACACAAATGTGTACGTAAAACAAAGTATTATACATATAATATAAATGCATATGTGTAAAATTTTATACCAGAAAAACAGTCTCGCAGTGAGATTGAAAATGTGTTCACTAAAAATATACAATGCAATAAAAATTCACGAACAGTCAAAATAAAGTTGAAACGTGAGTAACTAGAAACATTCATTAAAACATTAATTCTATACAGATAGAAAAACATTTCCGTTCTATCTCTCTCTCTCTCTCTCTCTCTCTCTCTCTCTCTCTTTCTCTCTCTCTCTCTCTCTCTCTGTCTCTCTCTCTCTGTCTCTCTCTCATACACTGTACATCATTTTTTTAATGTGATGAAGGAGGCAAGATGCTGTTGTGATGCACAGTGTTTGTCGTGCCTTGCAAAACGTGAGGGCCATAATGACGAGCACTGTGTATCATATTTTTTATTTGTCATACTGCTTCTATTAGACGGGTATTGTGGAACAAATTGCAGATTCAAATTTCATGATGCTTTTATCATCTAACTCCATCTGTCTTTCAACTCTTTCCAACAACATTTATTGGATACAAAGTTGGAGGCAAAATCTAAAATTCATATAAAACCATATTTCATGAAATATCATCTTCATAGTCATTTCTTATTCATTGTAATCTTATGTTTATTATTCCGTGAAAGTATGAAAATCTGTTTATGTGCTAGTCTTAGAAACAAGATCTCATTGTCATCCAATTCTCTCATGGTTTCATTCTTTTCTCTCGTTTCCTGGGATCCTACATTGGCATCCAATTCTCTCTCTCTTTTTTTTCTCTCATTCCCAGGGGTGTAACATTGTCATCCAGTTCTCTCAGGTTATTTTTCTTCTTGTACTCAGGGGTCTGACATTGTCACCCCACTGTCTTGTGTTTCTTTTTTCTCTTTCATTGCCAGGGGTCCAACATTGGCATCCAATTCTCTCTTGTTCATCCAATTCTCTCATGTTTCCTTTCCTTTCTCTCTTTCCCAGGGGTCCAACATCGGCATCCCAGACACAGAGGGCAAGACGCCGCTGCACTGGGCGGCCAGCTCCAGAGACCCGGACGCTGTCAGTTGTGTGCTCCTCATCCTGGTAAGTCTGGCTCTCTCCACTCTGACCACCGTCTGTGGTGTACCGTAGCAGTTAGGGGCTTCGCTTTTGAGCGCAGGAGACCCTAGTTTGATTCCCTGAATGGGGAGAATTTTTATTGAGCATCTCGAGTCTTTCTGATAGGAGGTTGTTTCCCTCTCAGCCTGGATTGGCCCTGACTGGCAAGGTTGAAAGCCTGCATCCTATATTATCTAAATTGTGTCTATGTTGGGGTAAAAACACTTTTATTAAAAAATAAACAAACAAAAAACCCTCTACACATTGACCTCTCACTTTGGATATCTTTATTATACAGAGTGAAATTCTTCAGGAGAGAGAGAAAAAAACTGTCTCAGCCTTTTAACATTTGTATCTATATTATGTATCTCTTCTTGCTTTTTTTTCATTATTTAGCCTTTAGATTTTGACAAAATATACCCTCGAGCACATGCAAGCAGTTCCAGAGTAAGAAACTGCAATTAAAAAGAAAGATTCCAAATTTTAGCTCCATACCACTGAATAGCTGGCGGACAATTATACATTTAGCAGTAATGATAAGCATGTGTTTGTAAGCGTTCGCCTGTTTCTTCTCATGATGCTGACTTTCAGTTTGTAGACTTGGCAGATTTATAAAAAACGTATAGATGTTTAACTGCTATTTTTGTCTTGACCTGCTCATCAGGTTGGTCCAAAATCCTTTTTGTTTAGATTGGTAATCTTCCTTTCAAGGAAAATTTTAAAAAAAATTTATTAACATGCAGCTGCATTTCCCTCTACAGGAGACGACACCCAGTGTGATTAACTGGCAAGATTACGAGGGCCGGACAGCTCTGCACCTGGCTGTCGCGGACGGGAATGAGAGTGTAGTCATCATGTTGGTACGTTTTGGGTGGGTTTTTTTCGAATGTAAGTGTTTTTACACCTCCAACAACACAGTTTAGATAAGTTAAAAGGTGGGCTTGTACCCCGTGTGCCAATGCCAACCCAGGCTGAGAGGGATACAACATCTCAGCAGAAGGATTGGTGCTTTTGAGTTTGACTGTGGGTAGTGAGATGGCACTTGTGATAGGTCCTAGCTCTTTACTTTTCCTCTTTTCTTTCTGACCATCTTTCTGTCTGTCTGTCTTTCTGTCTGTCTATCTGTTTGTTTATCTGTCTTGCTTTTTCCTAATTTTAAATGACCGGTATTGTGTTGATGCCGGTTCTTTACTAGAAAATTTGAGTGTATGTTTTTCTGAGTGTGTGTGTGTGTGTGTGTGTGTGTGTGTGTGTGTGTGTGTGTTTTGCTCTGAGTGGTTACACCTTATATTGTACGCAGTATGATACTTCTACTTTAGGAAAACAGGGGACAAAAATCAGCAACTAAATTTTAAAAAATTTTTGGGAAGCCGGCCATCCATTGTGGAGGGCAGAGTGGATGTCTTGGACAGTGTCATTATAGTACAATATTTTAAAAAACACAAGGGGGGGGGGGGGAGGGATTTAGAGTGGTTGTTTGTACAGGTGGTTATCTTGGACAGGTTGCTGTTAGAGCAGGGAGGACTGTATTTACAAACTTACTTTACTTTTCCGGTCCAGCGGCCATTTGAGTTCTAGCCCTTGGGCCTATCGATATATGGCAAAGAATTTACAAGTGTTTATCAGTTGTGTTTTGTCGTTGCATAGAGTATTTCCAATTTCTGGGGAGGCAGGTAGGTAGGTACTACGCAGGTCGCTAAGTGCAGGGCAGGTAAAGAGGTGGTTTGATACTGTTTCATCCTGGCAGCTACACTATGGGCAGTCGCGTAGGGTGTCTTTGTGGATCCTATTTAGGTAAGAATTCAGTGGGATGTGTTGTGTTGGCAGGCAAAAGATAGTGACTTGTTCTCTTCTACTCAGGGAATTTAGTGTGCATCTTTTGAGTTGGGAGCAGTCATGTGTGCAAATAGAGTTCTTCCAGTTTTGCCCATTGCCCGTCCATTCAACCGCTGTTCCCTGGTGTTGCATTTGATAATGTTCTTGACTAGTATTTACAAAGAAAATCTACCTATCCTCAGACCTCGGTGGAGAACTGCAACGTGTCGGCCCTGGATAATGTTTTCCGCACGCCTCTGCACTGGGCGGCTGTTCTAGGTGAGACGACTCTTTATTGCCTTTGGGTTATATTTCTTTTTCTCACAAAGAGACAAGGGTTGTTGGCGGGTGTTCTGCCTCAAAGAGACAAAGGTGGTTAGCAGGTGTTCTGTCACTAAGAGAAGTGGATGGATGGCAGGGTGGCTGGTGGGTGCTCTGTCACAAAAAAAAGTGGGTGGTTGATGGGTGCTCTGTCTCAAAGAGAACTGGGTGATTGGCGGGTGCTCTGGTGTGGTTTGCTCCTTCTATCCTATCATATATTGATTGTCCTTATCTCTCCTCCTTCCTTTCTTTATAAGTGACTTTCCAGTAACACCTCTAAGTTCTCTGCACTTACATGACCCAATTGGGTTCCAGGTGCTGTAGAACTCGTACTTAAACTATAAACTCACCAAAAAAAGAAAAAGGATACCTCTGTAGACAGTTTTTGTTTTTGGTCTTTTATCGATGTAATTTGTCTTGTTGCTTTTATGTATTCTCACAAATGACAAATGTTCAAAAGCTTGAGACTAAAGTCTTTTCTCTGGGTATAAAGTACAGGTAAGGAAATGATCCAATTCGTAAAAATCTTTTCCTAGAATTTTCATGTTTGTTTTTTTCTTGGTGCTTTTGTATTGTTTTGCGTAGTAACGAAAATGGTACAGTGGAAAGGAACTTCTATTCGTTAAGTTTGCATCATGCTTTTATTTTATTTTTTTGACAGTGTCCCATCTGTTTTCTTTGTCCAGGTCACTCCAAGATTGTTGCGATGCTTCTGAAAAGTGGAGCAGACAGTTCCAGCTCCGACTCCAACGGAGCCACGGCTTTACACTACGCAGCACAGAATAATTTCAGTGTACGTCTTTTGAGAACACACCCTTAAAATAACAAGGTTCACTGGCATTTGGGGTGTAGTGGTTGGGCGCTTTACTGTTTCACACAGGAGACTCAAGTTTGATTCCAGAGTCGGGGATTTTTCATTTAGTATCTCTGTCTTTCTGCATAGTGTCCATTTTAGACTGGGTTGGCTCTGACAAGCAGGCCGCTCCTAAATGATATAAATTTTGTAAACAAGGGGGTAAAAATACCTACATTTACCAAAAAAAATTTGACGAGGTTCTAATCTACTTTCTGCAAGAACTTGGTTACACGCTACACATTACTCACACAAATGTCTTGCACACAGTGTCAAAGGCTTGAGACAATTTAACAAGATCTAATTATAAGCAATCAACCGCTGAATCTAGCAACACCCTTCATCACTTGGGATTCAAAATTGTACCTGGTTGAGCATAATTTGACCCTGCGTCTCGAAGGGTATAAAAATTTTGCTTATTATAAAGTTTTTTTCTTGAAAGTTTTTAAGATTTCTTTCTTGAAATAGTTCTCTTGATCTAAATTGTGTCAAAAGGAGCGCGCTACACTTACAACGATAGTTTTTTAAATAAAAGTTACCGTATTGTTAGTGTTGTGTCAAGGACTGTTAGGCATCTCGCCATTGCACGCAGATGACCCGAGTTTGATTCCTGTGTGCGGAGAATTTTAATAAATATCTTTATCATTCTGTTAGGATGTTGTATCCTTTTTCCGTCCACTTACAACTACAGTTTAACTGTTTATCTCCGAGGGGGGCTAACCCACTTTGCAGGGGTCCTCCTAAAAGTGATATATACGCCACTAAACTGGTAATTAAATCAAAGCAAGTGAACCTGTTTTTGAAAGATCTGATTCTTCATCTAATGAATGAACTCCTGATAAAAAAGAGACCAGTTTTCAACAACTGCTGAAAAGTAATTTGACACCAAATCGTCGCAACGAAATGTGCTCGAGCCGCTGCCAGTGGCTCACCAGCACAGCGGGTCCGACTTTGAGCTGCTGGGAGTGGCTTGCTGGAGATAAAGAGTTAAAACAATAAGTTACCGTATATATATATATGTATATATATATCTTTGTTGACTCCAGGACACGGTGTCAGTGTTTCTTAGCAACCAGTGCACCGACGAGGCTGACCTTGAGGGTCGTACGGCCTTCATGTGGGCTGCGGGGAAAGGAGCCGATGATGTCATCCGGGTGTTTCTGGAGCAAGGAGTGGACATCCACCAGGAGGACAAGACGGGGGACACGGGTAATGTCTTGTTGGGTTACCTGTCCCTGTGGTTTTATGCACCCCGCATAATTTGGCAAAATTTGATCATTTTTTGCATAATTTCTGATTATTTTCCCGTTATCATTCTTTGTTAAAATTAACAGAATTGCATAATTTCTCTATGTTGGGCTCAGTTTGCATAATTTAAGAATTTTTCGTACATAAAACGACTGGGACAGGGTGACTTCCTCTGGTGTTAGGGCTCGTATAAAAAATGATAATTTTTGAAAAAGTTATAAAACTCTTCCTTGTGAGTCACTAAAATTTATTCATTTTAACGGTGTTTAGGATCATAAGTTTCAAGGAGTAATGTTGAAGGATATTTTTCCACTGTTGTTGGGACTCATTTAAAAAGAAGGTAATTTTTTTTAATGTTTCAATTTAAAGAAAAAGAAAGAATACAAAATGTCCGTTGGGGGTCAATACAGTTGACCTTATCTGATCTTGTTTTAACTGTTGTCTAGGCTCAATGATGTCATGGATGACATCACTGGTTATGTCACTGGTGACGTCACCACTTATGTTATTGACGACGTCCCTGGTTATGTCACTGATGATGTCACTAGTAATGTCACTTATGTCACTCTTGATGTCACTAGTAATGTCAATTATGTCACTGATGATATCACTAGTATTGTCACTATGATGTCACTAGTAATATCACTTATGTCACTGATGATGTCACTAGTAATGTCAAAACTGATGATGTCACTAGTAATGTCACTTATGTCACTGATGATGTCACTAGTAATGTCACTGATGATGTCACTAGTAATGTCACTGATGATGTCACTGCGGATGTCCCCAGCCCTACACGCGGCAGCTCTGTCTGGCCACAGCACGACTGTGCAGCTCCTGCTCAACAGCGGCGCGCGCCTGGAGGGCATGGACCAGGCCAAGCACACGCCGCTGTTCCGCGCCTGCGAGATGGGCCAGATGGACGTCGTCCAGACGCTGATCGAGTACCGGGCACGGGTCGATATACTCGACCAAGATGGCCGCTCTCCGCTTCACTGGTGGGTAGAAACTCTTGCAGTTTAATTTAAAATCAAATCTTGTCATTTTGTTCAGATATTGTCTTTGTGGGTTTTTTTTTATTATGCATGCCCAATATTATGCATGCCCAATCATGCAATTTTCTTTTAATGCCTTGTTTTTAATATGCGTACCCAATCATGCAATTTTGTTTTAACCTTGTCTTTCTTTTTTTTTTTATTATGCATACTCAATAATGCAATTTTGTTTTGATATTGTCTTTCTTATTTTTTCTTCTTTATACCCAATCTTTCAATTTTTTTGGTAATACTGAATTTTAAAATTTCTTAGGCATACCCAATCATGCAATTTTGTTCTAATATTGTCTTTGTTTTTGTTCTCCCACAAGGGCTGCCCTTGGAGGCCACGCCTACATCTGTCAGATGCTCATCAAGTACGGAGTGCACCCTAACATACGTGACAACTCAGCGTAAGTCCTTAAAATACGAGATAGCTCACCCTAACATACCACACAGTTCACCCAAACATACATGACAACTCAGTTTAAGTCCTTAACACACGTGATAACTCAGTTTAAGTCCTTAACATACGTGACAACACAGTATAAGTCCTTAACATATGTGACAACCCAGTGTAAGTCCTTAACATACGTGACAACCCAACCTATCATACCACACAGTTCACCCTAACAAATGTAACAACTCTCTCAAACATACGTGACGTGACATCTCAGCGTAAATCCTTATCATATGTGATAACTCAGCATAAGTCCTTAACATACCAGACAATTCACCCTAACATACCAGAACTCACCCTATCATACCATACCTCACAGTTCACCCAAACATAGGTGACAACCCTCCCTAACATACGTGACGACTCAGCATAAGTCCTTGAAATAGGAGATAATTCACCATAACATACCAGACAGTTCACCCTAACATACATAACAGCTTACCCAAATGTACGTGAAAACCTCTCGTAAATCCCTAACATACGTGATAACTCCTCTTAAGTCCTTAACGTACCAGACAACTCACCCTAACATACCAGAACTCACCCAATCATACCATACCTCACAGTTCACCCAAATATAGGTGACAACCCACCCTAACGTGCGTGACAACTCGGCATAAGTCCCTAGTATAAGAGAAAGCTCTCCTTATGTACTCGTATAACTGGTATTAATACAAGATGTATTAGATAATACAATCCATAAGTTTTGAGTTCCCCCAGGAGCATTTACGCACGGTCAGAAAAATTCAAAATTTTTTTGACGCAGCCTGTTGTCATGTCTGTAGATAGATAGATGGAGAGAGAAGGACAGAAAGAGACAAAGAAAGAAACGGAATGAGAGACAGAAAGTCAGACGGACAAACACAGAAAGAGAGAGAGAGATGAACAGACAGAACAGAGATGGAGAGAGATAGAATAATACCAACCGACCAACTGACCGAGAGAGAGAGAGAGAGAGAGAGAGAGAGAGAGAGAGAGAGAGAGAGAGAGAGAGAAGAAGAGAGAAATAACTCCTGGGTCTGTAGGCTTACAATTAACTCAAAGCCCCACATCGTGCATGTAATGATCATACTTTTGATATGTTCTGTATATATGTTCTGTATGTTGGTTGTTTTTTACGTGCTTCTCCTCGTGTTGTTTTTTGCTGACACCAGGAGGACTCCTCTCCACTGTGCAGCGTACGGGGGCTTTGTCAACTGTATGTCTGCCCTGATGGAACACGGGGCCGAGCCCAACTCTCAGGACAAGGAGGTATGTTTCTTGTATCGAAAGTTTCCTTTAGTTTTGTAAGAGTTTTACAGTGCTTGCGACTACATAAAGTCAGATGAGAGCGCGGGATTTAAGTGGTATGTTTTCACGTTAGTTGACAACACAGCATGGTATCGGTCTGTGCCGTTGGAATGGTTGAGGTGATTGTTTGTATTTTTACAAAAATTTCATGTGAACTCTTTCACTACCAGAGAGTTTTCTTCACCTGAACTGGGCCCTATTTGCGGACCTGCTCTCTGGTTCTGCCTACCCATGGACAAAGTACAGATTTTGAGTTCAATTTTCAATTATTAGCCACATGTATTAGATATGAAAATAAAGGGGAAATAATGACCTATCTCAACTTGTTACTAGAAATTATCATTCTTCAGCCTGAGACTTCAATTTCGATTATTACAAAAGTAGGTGTGGTTGTGAAGCAGAAAGTGGAGAGCCATGAAGCACGGCTCACTGTCCAGTGTTGGGAGCACTGGAGTGAAAGAGTTAAAAGCTCTTTATAAAAATTGTAATTTACATTTTTAAGCTAAGCTCTATCTACATTTTGTACAAAGACCATTGGTCTTTGTAAAATTTATGGAAAATTTGCCTTGAACAATTAAACTTCTGAAGAGACTTCAAATCTCTGTAGTGTATAACTGTGTCTTTCTCTCTAGAAGAAAGTCTGTCTCTATAACTCTTGTCTTTCTCTCCAGGAGCAAGTATGTTTTTATAACTCTGTTTTTCCCCCTTCAGTGGGCATCTCTATATCTCTCTCCCCTTCTATGTCTGTCTCTATAAATCTGTCTTTTTGCTATAGTGTGTGTTTCTATAACTCTGTTTGCTATAATGTGTGTCTCTATAACTCTGTCTCTCTCTATGTTGTGAGTTTGTGTGTGGGTGTGTGTGTGTGTGTATGTGTGTGTGTGTGTGTGTGTGTGTGTGTGTGTGTGTGTGTGTGTGTGTGTTTATAAGTCTGTCTCTCTCTGTGTTGTCTGAGCGTGTATAGGGTGTGACCTGTCTCCACTGCGTTGTCTGTCTGTGTGTTTATGAGTCTATCCTTCATTGTGTTGTGTGTGTCTATAAGTGTGTCTCTCACTGTGTTGTGTGAGGGTGTCTATGAGTGTGTCTCTGTGTTTTGTGTGTGTCTATGAGTGTGTCTCTGTGTTGTGTGTGTGTCTATTAGTGTGTCTCTCACTGTGTTGTACGTCTGTCCCTCATTATGTTTTGTGTATATGAGTTTGTCTCTCCTTTTGTTGTGTGTGTGTCCATGAGTGTGTCTCTCACTTTGTTGCCTGTGTGTTCAGAGAATGATCTGCCTCCTCTGTGTTGTCTGTCTGTGTGTCTATGAGTGTGTCTCTCACTGTGTTGTCTGTCTGTGTGTCCCTGAGTGTGTCTCTCAATGTGTTGTCTGTCTGTGTGTGTCTATGAGTGTGTCTCTCACTTTGTTGCCTGTGTGTTCAGAGAATGATCTGCCTCCTCTGTGTTGTCTGTCTGTGTGTTTATGAGTGTGTCTGTCACTGTGTTGTATGTCTATGTGTCCATGAGTGTGTCTCCCACTGTGTTGTCTGTCTATGTGTGTCTATGAGTGTGTCTCTCACTGTGTTGTCTGTCTGTGTGTGTCTATGAGTGTGTCTCTCACTGTGTTGTCTGTCTGTGTGTCCATGAGTGTGTCTCTCACTGTGTTGTCTGTCTGTGTGTGTCTATGAGTGTGTCTGTCGCTTTGTTGTCTGTCTGTGTGTGTCAATGAGTGTGTCTCTCACTATGTTCTCTGTGTGTCCATGAGTGTGTCTCTCACCGTGTTGTCTGTCTGTGTGTCCATGAGTGTGTCTCTCACCATGTTGCCTGTATGTTCAGGGAATGACCTGCCTCCATTGGGCCTGCTCCAAGGGTCATCTGGACGCGGTCAAGCTACTGGTGGAGTACGCCGCCTACCCCAACCACATGGAGTTTACGGAGGAGAGGTAGGGAGGGAGGGGGAGGGAGAGAGGAGGTTGGGAGGAAGGGAGGAGGAGGGACAGGGGAGAGGGAGGGAGAGAGGGACGGGGAGGGAGGAGGAGGGACAAGGGGGAAGGAGGAGGAGGGACAAGGGAGAAGGAGGGAGGGAGAGTGGGTGGAAAGAGGGGGAGTGAGCAAGGGAATAAGTGGGGAGGGAGGGAGAGAGAAAGTGGAAAGGGAGGGAGAGAGGAAGAATGGAGGGAGGTGGGAGAGAGATAGAGAGAGAGAGAGAGAAACACAGAGACAGAGAGAGGGAGAGAGAGAGATAGAGAGAGAGAGAGGAGGTTTCACTGTGTGTAGTTTATGTGAGTTTCTGAGTGTCACATTTGTATGTTTGAGTACTTGTGCAGCTATTTCACGAGTGTTTTGAGGGTGTCGTCGTCGTAAAGTACTACTGTAATTTCTCGGTCTGTCTTCTTTTTTTGTTCTTTTTACTAAAACAAGTGTTATTTTTTCAGGTACACTCCGCTGGACTATGCCCTGATGGGGGAGCACCATGAGGTGGCTCAGTATATGATAGAGCAAGGGGCTTTATCCATTACTGGAATACAAGACATTGCTGCTCTCAAAATACAGGTACACTTGGTGCTGTTAGTTGGAAGTAGATAGATAGATAGATAGAGAGAGAGAGAGAGAGAGAGAGAGAGAGAGAGAGAGAGAGAGAGAGAGAGAGAGAGAGAGAGAGAGAGAGAGAGAGAGAGAGAGAGAGAGAGAGAGAATAAGTTGAGAGTGAATGAGTAGAGGGAAAGAGAGAGTGTGAATGAGTAGAGAGAGAGAGAGAGAGAGGGAGGGAGAGAAACAAAAAGAAGGAGAGAGTGAAAGAGGGAAGGAGGGAGAGAGTGTCAAAGAGAGATAGGGAAGTAGTAGAGAGAGAAAGGAAGAGATGAAATACTTTGTAGTCTGTATGATATTGTTAGTTATTGTAACCACTGAAATCTAAACAAATGTGGGTTCTTTGTGCTTTTAAGCCGTTTTCGTTGTATTTTATATACTGTCAGCCCTGCATGTCATTATAGCTGTATCTTGAGACGACATCAAATTTTAGCTTTCACTGAGGCCTCTAAACATCTCAGCATCAATTGTATTGGTTTCCCAATATTATAGTATCTTATCTACGTTTTTTTTTCCAATGACTTGCTCCTTTTTTCCTATCAAACATCTATCATCCTTATCTCATATCCTTTTCTTTGTATATTACTTTCTAGTGACACGTCTAATCTTCAGCACTTGTATGACCTATTTATGTTGCAAGTACTGTAAAACTCTTACATGTTGTTGTTGTTGTAAGCGATCCAGTAGCATCTGAGCGTTAACTCTTCTGCATGATACCATTCGGTAATAGCTGCCTGTCTGTTCTAATTGTTGTCTTGAGGAGTAGAGGCAATTAGATGTGTGGGGTAGCTTGGGAAGAAAACATCCCCTTAAATCATTTAGTTTTCTACAGAAGAACAGATGATGTTCCACTGTCTCTGAGGGGTAGTCACATAGTGGGCAGGCAGCAGAGTGCTTTACTCCAATTCGGTTGAGATGTTGGTTGAGGGGTATATGTTGTGTTCTAAGTTGGAAGATTATGGATTGATCTCCCCTCCTCAACTCATTGATTGGATCTTTGACCAGTGGTTTATTCATGTGGCCATACATCCTCCTTCCTGTCGTACCTGTAGCCCAATCATTCATCCACTCTTCCTTGAGGTTTGACTTGATCATTTGGCAGCAGGGGGTGTAATTCATAGGAATTTCAGGCTGAGGGAGGCTAGCTCCTTTCTTTGCCAGAGACTTACATAAACTAAAACTTCAGCTCCTTCTGAATATCTTTGTCTGTCGTTCTCTTGTCTGCCCTATTCAGTTTTCTCCCCTTCCTCTGAGGCAAAAGTTAAACACTTTAAAATCTTGACTCAGAGTTTTCACAGATGGTTTAGCTTAAAGTAATGAGTTTGTAATGAGTGCAATTTGTGCGTTAGAATCATATAAATTGTGTACAAATTGTGCATAATGTTTTTTATGTCATATTTTTGTCCACAGTCTGCGTTCAAAGGGTTCCGGGTACGCAAAGCTTTCATCGAGAGAAAGAAACTGTTTATGAAGCATGAGAAGCTGAAGAAGGAGGCCGCGAGGTGAGATTTTGTACCGTCTTTTCTGAGGTATACGATGTAATAGTTGCTAGTTTCTCCGTCTCTCTCTCTCTCTCTCTCTCTCTCTCTCTTTCTCTCGCTCTCTCTGTCTCTCTCTCTGTGTGTTTCTCTCTCTTTTTCTCTTTTTCTCTTTCTTTGTGTGTTGGTGTGTGTGTGTGCGTGTGTGTGTTTTGAAGAAAGGTATTTGCCCGTGTGTGTGTGTGTGGGTGGGTGTTTTGTGTGTGTGTGTGTGTGTGTGTGTGTGTGTATGAGAGAGAGAGTGTGTGTGTGTGTGTGTGTGTGTCTGTCTGTCTGTTTGTGTGTTGAAGATAGGTCTTTGCCCTAATGTGAAATGTAATCTTCTAATTTTTTAAAGCTTTCCTGCTACCATTTTTCAAAATCAATAAAAGATTATAGATGTTTTGTGCCGCTATTGACAAAATTTATATAATTTTGGAGAGAGAGGTGATAGGGGGGCGGGGGAGGGACGATGACTTCCATCCTGCCTGACAGGACCAACCTAGGCTGAGAGGGATACAATATCCCAGCAGACAGACAGACAGAGATACTCAGCTAAAAAAACTTTTCTAATGGGAATCAAACTCAGGTCTTCTGCGCATGCGATGGCAGAGCACCCGGCAGTTTGACTTCAGATGTATTTAAATTAGCGAAAAATTGGCCGCCAAATTTTGGTGACTTTCATACCTTGAAAATCTTTGAAAAACTGCAAGTTTATATTTTGTGTGCCTTTAGTCAACGTTTTTCAGTAAAATCCACACAGAAATGTGTTTTTGAACGGACATGAAAGATGTTGAGACAAAAAACAAACATTGGATAACAATTTGCAAACCGGTGGAAAAATGCCGCTTCTTCGATTTCATTATTTTGGTGAGAGCCTGATTTCACCACAATGCCTCACAAATATTTTGCTCACAGAAAACGGGCTGCTGAAGAAGGCAAAAAGTCGGAGGATCAAACTGTACGTAAACAAGACACAATGAAGAGCTCAACAGCTTCCATCCCGGGTACCGAACATCAGACTCCGCAGCAACAAGCTGAACAGCTACCTACTCCACCACTAGTCATTCAAGACTCACAGGAAAGCCTACCTCCAGACAGCCGGGCCGAATCCTCCTCGCAGACGATCAAAGAAGAAGTTCCGACTGAGCGGGAAACAGGATTGTCTCAGCAACAGCAACATCAGCAAAAACGACAACAGCAGCAAAAACAGCAACATGAGCACAAACAGGTACAACCTCAGCTTCAACGAGAAGAACGCGGTGAAGATCCCGTCGCTGTCAACGGCAAGACGTTAACTTCTGCTTCCTCTGACTCTGATTCGGGGGCTGTGACGGGTTCCTCATCAACTGTTTCCAGTCAAGGAAGGCGAAAGCACACACAGCTACAGCAGCAGCAGCAGCCTGCCTCTCAAAAGGACATTGTGGTTGAGAAGAAGAAGAGTCCGGACCCTCTCACTGTTGAGGTTCAGAAGAAGAGTCTCATGCCTGCACCTGCGCCCGTGACCACCCTTCCCAAGCAGGATGAACCGACACGCAGACAGCAGCAGACAGTTGGGACGCCGGACGTCAAACCCAAGCAAAGGTCTCGGTCAGGCGGCCGACTCCAGGAACGCGGGCACTCCGCTCCCCCGAGAAGGTCTTCCAAACCCATCGCCTTATCCTACGCACAACTACTACAGCAAAAAGACGCAATGCAGCGGCAACAGAAGCCGCTTCAAACAAAACAGCTGCAGTCAAAACAGCAACCGCAGCGCAAGTCCAAACAGCAGCAGGTCACACAACAGCAGCTGTCTAAACAGCAAACACATCTGCCAAAACAACAAACGCAACCGAGGCTTAAACAGCAACTGCGACAACCTAAACAACAGCTGCAACAACAGCAGCAGACACCGCCGCTCCGACAGCAAGCGCAGCCGCCGCACCTCCCTCCGGGCAGCGCGGAGCCTAGGAGTCGTAGCAGGAAGGGTCGCAAGTCCTCAAACACCTCAGCCCTCAGTGTCAGTGTGGAGCTGTCTAGTTCTGCGTCAGTCGATGGGACCGGAGCCTCTGCCACGCCCCCAGCACAGTGAGTTGTCGTCCATAGATTTGTAGCCTACTCCTAGACGGCGGCACTATCATGGCCGCCGCTCTTTCTTCTCTCTCTCTCTCCAAAAGCTTCGCTGGGATGCATGAACATCATGACCAAAGCTATTACGCTCAAATGAATAGCAAAACATCAGTCTCATTCACTCACTCACTCTCTCACCTCACTCACTCACTCACTCACTCACTCACTCACTCACTCACTCACTCACTCACTCACTCACTCACTCACTCAAATGCACAAACGTGCTCATAAGTGCACACACATATATTCACACAAATACAAGCACATGCGCAGACACTCATCGCATACAAAAACACAGACACTCGGTTATAGTTTCTCACAGTTCCCTTGACTCCCTCAAACCATCTTTTGTTTTGGTTTTCGTCTTGGTTTTATTGTGTCCAATATGTATTATAAAAAGAATGTGTTTGAGTTTATTAGGTGTCATCGGGTTCTAACCTTGGCACAAGACTTGCGAAAAAGTGTGTGGTTAGCGGGTGCTCTGGTGCGGTTTGCTCCTTCTTTCTTATCAAACATGTATCGTCCTTATCTCTCCTTCTTTTTTTGTGTATGTTACTCTCTTGTAACACACCTATTCTTCGGCACTTACATGACCTTATTGTGTTGCAAGTGCCGCAAAACTCTTACTAAAACTTTTTTAAAAACATTTGCTACCCTTGACCACTAAGTTGGCGGTGTGGTTTGCTCCTTCTTTCAATCAGACAGACATCTTTCATTTTTATGTCTCCTCCTTGTTCTCCTTTTACGTTACCCTCTGGCAATACCCCAAAACTCTAGCACTTATAGGAACTATGTTTGGGTCGTTGGCGGTTGCTCTAGTGTGGTTCACTCTTTCTCTCCAGTGAAAAAATGTACCGTTCTTATTTGTAATCCTTCTTTTCTCTGTATGATACTCTTTGGTACCCCCCCCCCCCGGGCAGTGCTACTGACTGAATTGTCTTTAGGCCATTCCCAAAGGGGGGATATTAACATGTTCTTATGCACAGTAGAATTGTAAATGGGCTGGTTTATCTATTTCATGTTCATACTGTTCCGGAACAGCACAGGGGGAACTACTGCTTTTTCTTACCTCATCCTTACTATCGTCATTCTTCTTTTATATGTTTGTCACTCTCTTGTGAACTGCTGTGTCCGGGGTGCCTTAATAGTCAAAGCAGACTTTGTGCTGTTGAAGCTAGAGAGGGAGCAGAGTAAGCCTGATTCCCCGTTTGGACTTCTCTGTTGACATCCACCCCTTGGCGCTCATAATATGACCATATGCAGTTGATGGGTGCTCTTGTGTGGTGTTGCTTCTTCTCTCTTATAAATATATTATTATCGTCCTTATCTCTCCTTTTTTTTCTTGGTATGTTACTTTCACACCTCAATTTTCTACATTAATGGTTTATTTGTGTTGTAAATGCCGTAAAACTAAATAAAACCGCAACTAAGACGGTCGGATGGTTGGCGGGTGCTCTGATGTGGATACTTCTAGTCTTTGGCACTTAAATTACCCTCTCGTCTGTGGATGGTTGGCAGGTGCTCTGGTGTGGTTTCATTCTTCCTTCCTATCAAAAATGTGTCGTCCTCAATTTTCCTCTTTTTTTCTTTGTATGCTACTCTCACACCTCAATCTTAGACATTTTTGTATTGCAAATGCCGTAAAACTTAATGTAACTATAACTAAGATTGGCGCGTGATTGACGGGCTTTGTGGTGTGGTTTGATTCTTCTTTCCTATCACGCATCTATCGTCCTGATCTCTTCTTCTTTTTTGTGTTTATTATTCTCTAGTAGCACCGATGATATTCGACATTTGTATGACGTATTTGTTTTGTAAGTGCCGTTAAACTCTCTGGTGTGGTTTGCTCCTTTCTTATAAGGCATCTATCGTCCTGATCTCACCCTTTTTGTATTAATTACTCTCTTGTAACACCTCTAATCTTTTGCAAATGACCTTAGACTAAATTGAATAAAACTGAGACGGGCGGGTGGTTGGTGGGTGGATGGCGCGTGCTCTGGTGTGGTTTGATTCTTCTCTCCCATCAAACATCTATCGGTGGGTGGTTGGCGGGTGCTCTTGTGTGGTTTGCTTCTTCCTTCCTATCAAACATCTATCGTCCTTATCTCCCCCCCTCCTTTTTTTTATGTTAGTTAGCCTACTCTCTTGTAACACCTCTAATCTTCTGGCGCTCATATGACCTTATGCCGTAAAACCTTTACTAAAAGAAAAAAAAAACATCTATCGTCCTTATCTCTCCTTCTTCTTTATTGTTTTTGTTACTCTCTTGCAACACGTCTATTCTTCGGCACTTTTATGACATATTATTGTTTCAAGTGCCGAAAAACTGAATTAAACGTAAACTAAGACGGGCGGGTGGTTTGCAGGTGCTCTGGTGTCGGTTGCTCCTTCTTTCCTATCAAACATCTTTCTTCCTGATCTCTCCTCCCTTTTTACAGGCGGTTGGTGGGTGCTCTGGTGTGGTTTGCTCCTTCTTTCCTATCAAACATCTTTCTTCCTTATCTCTCCTCCTTTTTTGTGTTTGTTAATCTCTTGTAACACTTCTAATCTTCGGCACTTATCTGACCTTATTGTGTTGCAAGTGCCGTACACTAAATTAAGCATAATAAAATGGGCGGTTGATTGTATCAAACATTTGTCGTCCTGGTCTCTCCTTCTTTTTAAGTATTTGTTACTCTCTTGTAACACCTCTTCCGCACTTTTATGACCTATTTGTGTTGCAAATGCCGTAAAACACCTACTGATACTAAACGGAACCACAACTAAGACGGGGACGAGGACCAGCCCTTATTGCCGTGACGTCATAAGCCTATGTGTTCTCGTCACACTCTGTCACCCCCTCACCTCCCCCCTCCCGCACACACACGGTTCCCCCTCCCCCCCCTCCCGGCTTAGCAGGTTCACGTCAGGGTGACGACAGGAACAAACAATAATCCTTGCAATCCGAAATGCAGTAGAAGCGGTCCAAGACAGCTACCCGTCGTCGTCGTCGAAAAGAAAAGAGGTTGTCTTAGCTAGGTGGGCGTCTTAGACAGTGTCATTTCTTATATTTTCTACTTTTACTTTTTGTGTTCTTTGGGCATTTTTAGCTGTTTTGAGTTACTAAGATCATGAGGTCAGAAACCAAATTTCATGTCTGCTCTATCAGAATCGTACTTTATCCACACACACACACACACACACACACACACACACACACACACACA